TGGATCTTGACTTAAACTCGAATTAAAGAATTCGCTTGTAGCTGTCTTCATGTCTGTCCCTAAGGCTGTCTCCGAACTTAACAGCTGCTGAGCATATATTAGGAGTTTCCCCTTCATCCAGCGCAGCGTATTAGTAGAGACTTCTACACCCCCAGACAATGCTGCTGTTCCGCAAAGGAGCGGCTCGAAGAGCAGCCAGACGCACAGCACACCGAAACAAAACAGGTCCGCTTTTACGGCCTGCCTGGCAGTCCACGAAAGAATCCGACTGTTGTTTTCTGGCGCATTCCACGGCTCCGATATTGGCAGATTGAGCTGCTGGTCTTCGTCGGCGTATTTTGTGGAGTAGCCAAAGTCTATGACCCTCGCGCTGTATCTCCTGCTGTCGTCGTCTTTAAAGACAAGGACATTCTCTGGCTTCAAATCACCATGTACAATGTCTTCAGTCTGGTTTAGCGCGCTCATCTCTCAACAGTAGGGCCAGGCTTACGATTGGAATGCATGTCGATGATCGCTCTTCCTATATCCGCACAAAGAAAGAGTCGTTCTTCGAAAGTCATATTCCGCCCCCCACTCGTTGTGAAGCGATATAAGTCCCCTAGATGCGATTTCTCAAAGACTAGGACCGGCCACGGCTTGTCGTTGTCAGGAGAGATGTCCCAGCAGATCCCATGTAGCTGCGCGATGTTGGCGTGCTCCCGTATGAATGGCTGACTTAAGATGGTGATCTCGGCGATCAGCGTTCGGAATATCTGCTGCTCTGTCTTATTCTGCTTGCGGTAGGCTTTGAAGGCAAAACTTGTGTCCAGGTTTGCAAGAATCTGATGGATCCTGGAGGTCCCACCGGCGCCAATCGCTCCGCTTGCATCCCAGGCCATGGGTAAAAATTCAATTTCTAACGCCTGAGCTGTGGCGAGAAAGGATAGAAAATTGAATCTCTCTTGGACTGCCTCGATTTCAGATACCTCCGCACCTGATGCAGATTGCCAATGCAACCAATAAGAGGATCTATAGTCGGATGACATTGTATTAGGTAGCAATAATTTTGTAGTAGCGCTCTAAGTGCACTGTTTTGGAGGTTGCACGACAAGGCGATTAAAACTCTTCGCAGAGAACAGGCTGCCAGCGGGTAGCGAGTTAGGCACTTGTTGGGCTGCTATTGGGCAGATACGCAAATCAGCCACGTGGCAGTACCATAGGACTGAGAGAGGCGGGGAAGTAGAAACCAAACGCAAGGCTGCCAAGGGAGTGCTTCTTGTTTATATTAATATAACGCAGTAATATATATTATAACTATAACTACAAATTGGTTGTTCTATTGGTAACAGTTCTACCCAAGATGACCCTTCACACTATTTTGTCACTGTAGTTCGCTGTACGATTTCACACCACCTACGTCCACGGCGCTCTACCGACGCAGACTGCCCAGACCCTTCTGAAATCCCTCCGTGCAGGCCTGCGAGGGTTGCTTCCATATAGCTTGTTCTCATCGTGACGCCAAGCTGCGAGACCCTACTCCTAAAGCTTCCGCGCAAAACTTCTCGTCTGATATGTTCTAGAAGTGTGGTGACAATCCAGAGCGCGATTTGAAAGGTAGGATGTAATCATGTAATCCATTTATCCCTCATGCTGAATTGTCTATACTGCACTAAGGGTTCTCGAAAAAGCCGAAAGACGCACCTTTTATCAGTGCGCGATTACTAATAAAGAAGGGAATTCCGTATGTATTATTACTAGGACAGCCGATGCTGATTCGAACCGAAAACCGGCCTTGCTTTGATGACCGAGTATCTACTCTCGTCTCCATATAGCCCTAGGTAGACCTTTCTCTAGAATGACAAGTAACAAGAGAGTTACTACCAAAAGTGGGATTGTAATTGCAAAGTAAAGGCCAACGTATGACCTGTTTCCAGAACTGCCGAATACTGTAGAGCTGAAAATAGACTATCTTCATTATTAGTTAAACCTCCACGTGGTAATATTTAGATGCACTGACGGCCATGAGTGATGCTGGAAGGAACATAGTTGCTGTCTGAGCAAGGATCTTGGCGATGGCAGCATCTTTGAGACCATCACCGGAGAGCTTCAGTAAATTAGCCGTGTCCTGGCAGGTCTGTTGAGATTGCAGCTGCAGGCTGACGATGCTAGTGTGCATGACAGATACGGTAGCCTGCAGCTTCTCGTTCGCTCGACTTTGCAGTATCGCAGAAAGCTGTTATGATTTCAGTCAAAACGTCAAAACCTTGAGGCCCGAATACATCATACCAATTGTGTCATCATGGACGATGTCTTTGCCAAGTTAACCACATCATTGTAATGATGTTGGAGGTCAGCTTTGAGCATTTCAAACGTATTTGCCGTCCCACAGTCGCACTGCCCTGATAATCCTTTATGTAACACGGTATGTAGGTCATTACATTTGTACAGTACTTTTTGTTGCCCTGTGATCATGGTCTTCACCATCAAGAGCGTGTCGCTGAGCGATGTCACCTTCTGAACGTCCTTGTAGAGAAGAGCATAGTCGTCGAGGCAAACTGTATCGACAGAGGACGAGTATACTTTTTCCTCCTATGGCTTTTTGGTCAGAAAGAAAGAGCCTAGGTCAAGTCAGTCTGATCTTACAAGTGTAAGCACTGTTTGGCGCAGCGATTCAATATACAGCCCCCAATTCCTTGCCGCTGCGGACAAAATGAACGAGTGCGGCCGAAGAGACGACACATCACAACGCTGGTTCGCTTCACCACGCTCGGCTTCGAGTGCCTCCGACACGCGATCTTTCATGTAGTTGGAATAGTTGAGCAGAAACCATACGGATTGCTGGCTTGATAACCGTCTCTGATACACGCCGGTCTGCCTGAGGGACCACGGATTACCGCGCTGCCGTCCATTCAGCTCGAAATAGCGAACTTTGTAACAAATTTCTTTTATCTCATCAATATAGTACAGCCACCAAGACATCTCTGGCACCGACGTACCGTAGCTGGAGGATGGCTGGACACGATAGTATAGGCAGTCTTTCGTCCGTTGCTTGTCATTCGTTTTCGCGCCGAAGGTAGGAACAAGACGTAGAAATGGAGTGAAGACCTGCAAATCAGCTAGTACTGTTCGAAATGCCGGTTCCGTGATGGAGAGTTGACTCCACGAAAAGGCTGAATTCGCGATGCTGCAATGAGTGAGTAGGACGTGTATGAAGAATTTTGGAGGCGTTTGAGACGCAGGGAAGACCTACAATATTAAGTGTTGCCATCTACTTTCCCGCAAATACTTCCGCGATACCATTAGCTCCGTCGCAGGCCATGGAAGCAACCGAGGCGTCCTCACCTGGCGAATTCCTTTCGTTACAATGTCATCACTTGGTACGGAATATTGCTGCGGAAGCGTTTGTGCAAGCCCTTCTTGATATTGTCTGTTAAACCGTGTGGGAGATTTTGCGGATCTGCAACTCACCATGTTCTTGTGCAAAGCATAGAACATCAACACGACCTCCTGCAGTCTGAAACAATGTAGACGACGCTTCACGCAGCACCTCATACCAAAAATCTCGGTCCTCTCCGCTTGGCACGTAACAGTCTGTATTTATTAGACATGCCTCGTCAATGGAACGGTTATCCTTGCATTTGACGGGTTCCATTAGGATAAAGAACCAGGATAATGGTGAGGTGCGCGACTGGGGTGGCGAGCAGACGAGCTTGAGCAATATAATAACCAGCACCTCACAGTGGGTAAATACGTGTTTAACTTCACACAGCCATACGCTGTGGCATATTCGGTTTAACCACGTGCCCGCAAGATGAGAGTAAGGCGGTGCGTAC